CGCACTGGCGCGAGGCTCGCAGGGCCAGCCTTTGGGTTTTACGCCCCACACACAGATTCTCAGTTGCCCTGCCTGCTCGTAAACCCGAGCTCGGCCCGGCAGCCATCCTAGGATTACAGCTCCGGGATTTTTGGCCTCTGCCGGCACTACCTGAGTCAACCGCCCGAGCGCAAAACTTCGCGATGTTCAGCTTAACACCTTCCTCCCCCGCCAGCGTTACTTTCACCACCTAACGGTTCTGGCCCTTTCGTGGCTTAACCCGAACCCACCCAGTAGGGAGGAAAAAGCGAGGCGATTGGGGGAAGGAAGGGGCGGGGCAGGCGGGGCATTGCATGACATGGCATGATTATGGCGATGACATGCATGAATGACATGACATGCATGACATGACATGAACATGACATGGACATGCCATGGCATGCGCATGGCATGGCATGGCATGGCACGGCACTGTAGTGTTTACTGCACTGCATTGTACTGCCGAACTCGCACCGCACGCGTTAAGGCAAAGTAGAGCAGGGAAGGATAGGGCAGGCAGGATAAGTGAAAGAGTAGGTCAGACCAGGCGTAGGCAGCAGGGGGGGCAAGTCAAAGTTGAGCAAGCAAGACGGACGGGAAGTGTGGACGAAGACAGGCAGGCGAGCGGCCAATAGAACGAAATGAAATGGGTCGGGACGGACGTGACGGGGCGGGCCGGGACGTTAAGACGACAACCAGACGGGTCCCCGGGGGTGAGACCCGAGGCTCCAGTTGAAAACTGAACTGGCTGGTCGGCGGGGGGGGGTATAGATCCCCGGAACCGGACGGATTGAGACGGGACTGGAACGTAGCTCACCAGGACGAGGCGCGGAGCGCATGGGGACGTCATCGAACGGGATGAGGGGTGGGAGGCGTGGCGGAGAGGGGGGAGGGAAGGCGGAGGCGAAGAAGAACTGGACTGCAACCCCAACTGCAGCGGCGGCACCAGATGTCACCGGCGCGCGGGCGGTGAAGAACGGCGCATCGGTAGCATTAAATTTCTCCGCGGCACTTAACCGCTTTGTGCGGACAGTTACTGCGCGTGCTACAGGTCCCTTTCAGGACTCACCGTGCAGTTGAAAACGCGAACGCCCGCCGTGTCGAATTTCGAGGCCCGTTAAGTTTCATGGCCGCATAACAGGAGCCGCTTCAATAAAACGGCCCACACACATAATGAAATGTTTGGCTTTTATTTAGGTCTCTGGGCGCCCTTACGGGGGTTTGATTCCTGACGATTATGTCTGTTGTTGTGTTGCAGATTGTTGACACAGGCATTATACTGTGCGGATACTTCGTAGCTTCCCGAACAGGAGTTAACGCTTGCATGTGATCTGACTAAGGGAGAAGCAGCCATTCGGCGATGAAACCCACTACCACCGATGCCCTTAGTATAAAGAATATTCTACGTACGCCAGATTTTTCTTACTTTGCGATCTAGGCATAAACGCGCTAAATAAATAGGAGAAATTTGGGAATGTCTAGTGATCGCATTACCTATCTCTTACCTAACCTCCACTACTACCGTATGACATTATGTGATCGCGAGCTGTGGGACTGAAAATATGGCTGTACGATTGATGCTCCCCGCGAATGCTAGCGTGCGAAGTGTATTCATTTGCTTCAACATAATAAGAAATAGTGCCCAAGCAGAAAATCCACCAAAAGGAAGTGTGAGGGGTACCGATGGAAAAGAAAGTCAAATAAATGAGAAGAAATGCTGGCTTCTAGAATGTTCCTCCAGTCATGGACAACGCCTGCCCTCACAGTGCTGTTGTAAACCAAAAAACGGTCAGGGGCAGATACAATTTTTGGGGGATTCTGCCCCCGAATTGATTTTCAGCTCTTCCTCAAATTGGAATAATTGGCTTCATTAGACCAAAGCCTTCCAGAATCCCAATGATGAGCCTCCCACCCAAGCCGACGGTTCGAGCCTATTTGCACATCACTGGCGACAACATTGGTGAAAACCCTTTGCGAAAGGGCCGGAAAACGTTGTTTTCTAAAGAAAATGTAGAAAAAATTATAGGTATTTATTTCCAAATATTAAAAATATTTATATTGTTGAATTTGTCTCATTGCGACTTAAGAATGGAGGTAGAAAAAATTATACTTCCGTTAAAAAAATCAAAGTTGTGTCAATAACTTAAAAAATTAAAAACGTTTACAAAAGCCAGAAACGAAATATGTTATTTCTTTCATCATCTTCAACAACTTCATGCAAATCGGCATCCGATGTCGTAAACCTGTGTAGGATATATTCGCCAGTGGCCAGCCTTAAATGTATTCACTTTGTATTTTATTTGCTATTCTTTCTTTTTGTTCGGATTTAGACAACCAAAAGTATTGCTATAAATACTATTGCAATAATCAGCCGAAGCGAGAAGGGCTGAAGGGACCTTCCTCCAGACAATGCGCAGGAGTTGTCATCCGATCGGAAAACCGTGTCAACCATCACGCACCTGCGTGATCGACCAGAGCCCCCGATAGGCCCGCAGAGAGCACCCGCCAACAAAAGAGTAACTAGCACCCCGGTGCACGAGACCGTGCCACCGGTACGACAACAAAGCAACTTCTTATCCCCACGCGGCGAAACATTCCTCTGTATTAATTAAAAACGTGCGGTGTACGTCGCTTCACGGATCGGCCAAGAGGAAGCGCGCGTCATAGGATCTGCCGTCGCAGCGGCTATGGTTCCCGCGGCGCTCCTCAAAAACTCAATTATCTTTGTTTATATCGGTTCTCGGGCGCAACCGAGATGTCCGGCGCGCCGTTCGTCTGAAGTGCAGGACCTGCAATCACGCCGCCGTGTTGACGTGGAAGCGCGTCCAGCACACGGGGTGGGGAGATGAAGCGCAGGCGAGCAGGGCTTGGGCGGAGGAAAGGAGGGGGCGGGCGTGATGGAAAGTGGAATGGAAAGGGGCGAGGAGTGCGACGGAGCAGGAGGATCGAAGAAGGGAGAGAGGAGTGATGAAAAGGGATGGGAAAAGTTGGATGTGGCGGGAGTGAACGATGCCAGGACCGGAAAGATCGACAGGGGACGCGGCGAAGGGCGGGGAGGATCTGGACGGACAGAGATCGGGGGAAACCAGGCATGGCCGGTGGAGGGGGCGGAACTGCGAGAAGCGGGCCGATGTACGTGTGTGGTAGGTAGTGAGGTGTAAGTAGGAAAGCATGTGGGGCAGTGACAGCATTAGAACGGAACAGCAGAGGCAAGATATGTGAGAGGCGAGGTGGCGTGTGAGGCAGAAGGTGCTGGACCGGGCAGATCGACAGGGGGAAGAGGAAGAGCGGCGGACCAGAGAACCAAAGCAGCAAGGCGGGCGGGGGCGTAGCGGTGGACGTAGCGAAAGAGGCGGGGAAGTCGTCAGCAGGAGACGAGCGGAGAGACGGTGATTTGGTGGTGCGAGGTAGGGGAGTGCTGGACCTGCGTCTCCAAAGGGGGCGGGGACCAGAGAGACCCAGGGAGCAAGGCGGGGCGCGGAGGGGTGGAAGTAGGGGAAAGGGGCGGAAGTGTCAGCAGGAGGACGACGCGGAGAGACGGTGATTGGTGGTGCGAGGCAGGAGTGCTGGACCTGGCGTCTCGAAGCGGCGGCGGCATGGGCGGCGACCAGGGGGACCGCAGAGCACGCTCGCCGTGCTGGGGACGGCAGCGGCGGCCGGCGCGGGGCCGCCGGGAGGGCGGCGCGCGCGACCCGAAAAGGGCCCGCCGGCTCGCGCCAGCGCTTTGTTTTGCCGCGCGGAAATGTGCCCGCGCGTGTCCGCTGCGGCCGCGCCGCATTTTCCATTTTTCTTCATTTTCCTCGGACCGGTCCGCGATCCGGACAGACAGCTGCTCCGTTCCCCGCCGCCGCCCCGGCCGACGCACCAGTAGATTCAAACACCCGACGCGTTCGGACATTCATTAAATAAGAGATTTCGTGTCAAAAAGGTCTTCGCTTTTCGGCGCAGGTACAATATTTTCTTCTTCATCCGTACGTAAGGGCGAGAAAGTAAAAGTAGACTTTTAATACGGTGCAGAATAAAGAATATATGTGCAATTGTTGCAAAGGAAGGGCCCAATGTCAATATTCGAAGTTTTTACCGGAATTGGGTTTTCCTTGCACCATCCCCGAAAATGAAACATAACAATCGTAGACCCCTAAATGAAAACCAATGTGAAATAGATCCCCGATGATTGACTTTGTGATCAATTGAACAAGTTCGACTTTTGACTTTGGCCTATGTTTCACTGAAAAAAAGAGGCGTTTAAAGCACACATTTGATTAACCAAAACGGAAATCACTAACAATTTGACACTGGCCCTTAATTGCACCAAACTATATTTATATATATATATATATATATATATATAGATATATATATATATATATCTGTGTGTGTTCTGTGAATTTTTTTAACGCATTGTTAATTTAATTACAGTTATCACTTAACGCACAATTCAAATATCAAAATTCAATATGCCTAGTTTGAAATGGCATACGTTTCAAACGTATATCTTCTCGTTTAAATTATATCCTTTCATTTACAAATATAAAACGTCGAAATAACATGGATGTTACAAATGCAACTTAGTACGTGAAACAAGCATAAAAGACCGCCATGTGTTTGGCTTTTTGTCTCTATGAACAAATCAAACCACTGTACTATAGCAAGTTGGCAAGAGACTATCTGAGGCTGGCACGTGCAAGAGTAAACGAATGAAATGTGAGTTTTGAGTAAAATGAAATAGGACACTTTTTTGCTAGCACTTTGAAATACTGATACGTTGAACTTCCGCAACACATAAACTTTACAAATTTTTTATATCCTAATAAAGAAAAATTCAATTAAAAATCGCATGAAATTCTCGTAACTAACGAACTTGATTTCTTCAAAGTGTATGACGTTTAAAACTAATGCATATATTCATAATGATTACCGATGTGATGATAAAATAGTTGATATAGAAACTGTTTGCTCAAACAAGACATCAACAAAGGATGCGGTCGTATTAGAAATACCCGAAAGTGTTGGGAGCATCTTCAAATGTCCGAATATCTGAAAATGTAATACCCTCCATAGCAGCCACACAATTTTCTTTTTTGGTCTAATTACCTAATTTTAATGTTCACTAAGACATGTGGTTTGCTATTCTACCGGTGCTCTATTGTGCACCGGCGCTACCGCTGCTGCTAGAGCAGTCCTTAATGTTTCCATAAACTCAATATCCGCACTATCAATACTCACGCGGTTTAGTGCAGTTGTCCTTCAAAATATAATCCACCGCTCCCACATTTAGAATAATCTTTTTAATTTACTCATAAGTGGCTTTTCTTAGTATTTTGATACATTTAAAATATTTTTACTTATTTTACTATTCAAAACTTCTTTATATTAACCTTTATCTAATTTAATTATATTTAGTGGTGTATATCTTCGAGGTGAACCAATTTTTGTTAGATAATAAATAGTGAAATACCTACAAAATCAAATTTTTAAATGTTGGGGTAGGCCCCTACGTAGCTTTCAATCGTTACTTATATTACGCTCGTTTAACAGATTAGGCAGAATTTACTTACCATTCCTATTTAGATATCTACCACACAGATCAATCTCGTATCTGTTGCCGTCGCCGCAGTCCCTGTACCAATTTCTGCGTCACCGCTAGCTACCGTTAGCCCCCGCCGGTACTGCTGCTATCGTCTTCGTTACTTTCCAACCTCGTACCTCATCAGGGTAAACAATGCAACTCTACGGACAATACAAATATACTATTATCTCGCTCCAGCGTCAACGCAAAAATAAACAGGCACGATTTATTTGAAAGTATCAAAGTTTGCAAAACTTATATCGTAAACGATTGGAGACAAGATTTTCAAACTACACATTCCACATACGAATAGGTTTTTCACGAATTAATTTATTTGTGTTTTTTCAGTTTAGAATGAATTCTTCTTTTCTGATAGTCTTTCAATATAAGCGAACGAGACTTTTCATATTGATTTTGCCACTTCTAATTATTTGTAGTAGATAAACATTATCTACGCATGTTACATACATAGTGTGATATTACGAAAGAGAACAAGGTACAGTTTTATTGCGAAACGAATAGCATAAACGAAATGAAGATAGAAATATACAATATTTATATCTCTGATGAAAAAAATCAAAATTCAGAGACAGGTGGAAATTCAGGAAAGCGCAATCTCTTACAGCTTAATATGAAATAATTTTCAGAATGCCATGATATCGTTAATCATCATTGCTTTGTTCGCCTGAAGATACAATTAGGAATAGTTCAAATGTCGTCACATAACACTGGATCTTATTAACAAAACTACCAGTCGCCAAAACAAACATAAATGTACCAATTAATATACGGTAGAGACATCAGCTTTTTTTTGTAGGAATAGGATTCCGAACAACAACAAACATTATTGACAGAGTAGCAATTTACCCGAAATTATGCTCTCAGGCGCTAATTTTTCCGCCTCGAATAGGCTAAAGAATTTCCCCTCCGGCAGCTGGGAAAACTTTCTCACTGTGCACCTCCGCAGCCTTCGACGTCGCCGCCAACACCGCCACCGGTCAGTGTAACTGATGATGTCGGTGACGTCATTTCTTTGTTGCCGCGCCGTGCGATCATTAGCGGCGAGGTCAGAGGGGCGCGCGCCGGCGTTTGCGCTCGGCTTTTGTCGGCCGCGAGGGAAATTTTTGCCGCGTTTCGCGGGAAAGGCGCCCCTTTCCAAAGGAGGGGGGTTGCGCTTATTGGCGGCGGCGATGGTAGTGAAAGTGAAGGCGAAGGCTGTCGGGGATTATGCGGGGAGTGGACGTGAAGGTGATGGCCACGCAAGTGGTAACGGAAGGGAAGGAGCTACGGCGATGGCGACGTTGCTAAAAGAAGAGAATGCAGTTTGGACTTGTGCAGGGTATACTGAGTAAATAGACATGCAAGTGCGTGTGGTGTTAGAGGTGCCGCTATAGTAAGATACGCTGAGGGAAAAAAGTTAGCGGTGATTAATTATAATAAGATTTGAGTTCCCGGAGATCTAATATGGAATTAAGATGACTGGATGAAAGACGTCGGTGGAAATACTTCTGATACTGGTTTTACTGAATTGAAGGCAGTAAAGTGGTGTAATTAAAGCATTAAGGACATGCTACTGATGCGATGTTTTAAGGTGACAACTAGGATGATACCGAAAATAATATTGTGTTAGGTTCGTGAATGCAGGGTTCATAATGCAATCATATTTACGGAAAAGTGGGCCATGATTACAGGCTCCAGCCTTTGAAGCTATAGCTTCGTAACATATATGTTATGATGGGTACGAGGATAGCGGTGGAATAGCAAATTGATACGAGTAGATTTATGATTGTAATTGCTGGGTATTATAATACCGAATTCAGACAGTTCTATTAAAATATTATTTAATAATATATTTAATGATATATCATTATTATAAAAATATTATATTATAAGTCGAAGTGCATAGAAGTCGCTTAGTAATATTAAACTTATCACTGTCCATATTTGCTTTTATTGCTCAAATATTGAATTTTTATTTTCTCAGACAGGATAGTATATTGGATTCAGCGCAAGAGCAAATCAACGAAAGGGTTCATCAGTATCGCCGAATCCGAACAGAGTTTACACATCACTGCCCTCATGTTGGTATCAGCCACATGAGACACTTGGAAGGTATTCCAGCAAGGAAATGTTCTATTGGTTCAATTATTTTCTACTTGCATCTATGCATATTTCTTTTTGTGTATGATAACAAGTGTGAGTGATTGGTGACTGCGCATACGCTCGTTCACTATAATTCCCAAATGGTTCGTCAAAAGGATACGTGTAAATCGGGGGTTAGCGTTGACATGTTTGCGGCGCGTCTTTTGCAGACAGTCCGCGACTCGGCGAATGCAGGTACCGCCCGGTATCATTTTCCCATCGCTCGGCGGGGGAAGCCGACGGACGCAGAGGTAGCAACCCGAACTGAGAATGTGCGCAACAAGGGCGACCGCAGTCAACGCAGCGCGGTGTCATCGATCATCCTGCGGGACGCGCGCTGACCGCGCGACCGACGGATTAGCAGCGGCCATCGCGACAAATTGCGTGCGAGACGCCACACACCGCACCGGGCGGGACAACGGGGGCTTCCTTGGCGACGCCTCCCTCCTTCCCCCTCCCCCCACACTCACACACTGGGCACAAACGGCCTGCAAAGCGCGCTTGGGCGAAAACCCTACAACTCCACTCTCAAAATGCAGCGGCGATGCGAGAGAGACGCAGAAATAAATGAAGAAGTAAAAGCAAAAACATTTTTCTCTGTTTTTCACGTATACTTCACAAATCACACTTTCAGTATGCACAACACGTAATAAATAAAAGTGTATACAGAACAGGCACAAAATATAATAATAACAACAAACACAGTTATCAGAAAAAAAAGAAAGAAGAAATGATGCGAGAAAGTACGAGCTATTGTAGCAACACTTGTTCTGTATTATTGTGGTACATTCTTTGTTATTTTGAATTAACAACAATGGCCACCAAGAGGGAGATCGTTTCGGTTCTCCCCCTCCCGCAAGGCTGACAAATGCAACGATAACTGGTCTCGTGACCTCAACCGCCTACAGAGCAAAGTCCTTCAGAAGTCAAATAGTATATACTCTCTAGACCGCCATTGTTTGTGTGTAATGTTATGTAAAGTAAAAATGGCGTTATTATTACGACGAACGTTTGTAAAAAATAACATCGTACACGTGAGAAAATTTGTATTCCATTTATTATTATTATTATTAT